TGATAGATTTCGGGACCCACGAGACCCGCAGAGCAATTCTGAAAAACATCGGGATACGCGGGTTCGGGACTTAAATAGTGAATTTCGGCATGGGCGGGATCGGGATTGAAAATTTTGTCCCGTGCACATCTCTAATAGGTATATATTTTTATATGGGTTAATATGCTGGTAGATTTTTGCCATCAGCGCATTGCAACTGTTGCTGGGCACGTATCCGTAACTAATCCTATTTGCTACATAGCAGCCAATGCGGCGCGCATCGCACACACATCTACGCTCGCGCGCTGAGAGATCCATTGCTGTGTGGCAACAACTAATGAAGCAGCTCATGTATTAAAGTAGATATGTACCAGCAGATGGGGCATAGTATCTACTCGAATGCTTAGGCACAATAAGTAGCCAGATTTCCAGCGCCAAAGGGAATGATCGTTAGCGCTGCCACCATAATGCAGGCATAATGGTCAATTCAATGGAATTCGCTCCAAATTAGAGCTATTTAAATTCGACGCGTGCTACTACTACTACTATCATTTGTGATGCGTACATTTCAGCGCCCAGCGTTGTATAGATATATTGGTTTGTGTGTACCCAGTGGGAAAATGGGAATGCATTAACTTTTTCTACCAAGGCTCGTGTTTGACTGCCGTGTTGTTGGTCACGGGCTCAAAACCTATGACACGGGCTTTATATTTTTTTTTTGTTTATAGTTTCGTAAAGCGACAGAAATTCTTGCATCTTTTCGTGCATAGGTTACAGAGGCTAACTATGCATTATTTTTGGCATTCGTTAACATGCATTACCTTTTCCCACTGGGTATCTATGTAAGTAAGTGTTCAAACTGTATTTGTGCTTATTTGCTAGTTGATAGTAGTATTGATCATTCTCGCAGTGCCGCGGCTACGTACTTGCATGCGAATTTGAGTATCTTTCGGCTTGCGACAATTGTGCCCTGCTTTTTCACCGTACTGATTTATTCATTTGTATTTATAAAATAGTTTCATTGTCATTCTATTGGTAATCATTCCATTATATTGTTTTTTTTTTTATCAAAAAAAAGTTCCGTGGAATCATTGTCGGTGTTAGGCAGCAGCGGTTGCAATGCCACAAACTACTGCCGCCGCATTGTCCGCTAGAGCGTGTTGAGCTACTTTAGATGGATTTTGATGCACACGGTTTTCGGTATAGATTTCGTAGAAAGATTTTGATTATGTAGTTTTGTAGCCCATTGAATTCTAGTAGAATAAAGTGCAATTTTTAAATAGCTAGAAATTAACGTTGATTCTTTAGAAAACAAAAATTAATTGTGTGTATTCGTTATATGGAAGCAGTGTGGTCAAAGTATTTTCCTGCACAGACGGAGAGCCCTTCTAAGGCCGCAACATAACTATGCCTAAGCGTTAGTATCCGTAAGCGGGATTGAAATTCCAAAACAATTTCGCTCCATATTATCAGCATGGTTTTTCTACTGGGCCAAAGTTTCCCCTATTTGATTAAACATGGTATTTTGAAACATGCCAATTTATATACCATCAGCACCTTGCCAATTCCGGCCTCCGACAATCGTCATCAAATCAGCAAACAAAAATTGGCTGAAGAACCAGCTCGTGGGGTGGCATTCCAAATCTGACCAAAGATTAAAAATAAAAATTCCAACCTACTGTGTCGCCACAGTGGGCAAAAATCGAACAGTTCGCTATCTGCAATATGAGCGTGGGACAGGTCGCTGTGGTGTATTGGTTAGCAGTGCGCGCTATTATTCCGCAGAGCCTGGGTTTTCTAATAGCGGCCGCCTCTCGTCAGGCAATGGAAAACATCCGAATGTAATTTTGCCATAAAAAACAGCTTCTCATATTCCCTTGACTTGTTAAATAATTTTAGATAAACTTTGTAAAAAGGTGGCAACTATCTTAAATATTCTAAATGTTCAAAATAAAGATTTCTTACTATTCCTCAGTTTGGCGCCCAATATTTTTACACTTCATATAATTTACGTGTATTTTAATTGCATTCGAATTTGCAATCAAGTGGCAACTCTGTTCAAAGTATTTTAAACCTAGAACCTTGTTAAACCTTTTTCGTCTGATAGCTATATGTTTATATGATACATAAATATTGAAATTATCCCATTTGCTTAGTTCAAGCTGGATTTAGTTTCGAAAACAGCTGGCAACCACCTTACATGTAATTTAAAAAAAAAAGTTTTTCAATGCCATTTTGATTTATATCTGTACTGTATTGTTATTATATTTACCGAATTGACCTTGTTGAAAATTTTTGCAAATTCGCCACCTTTTTCGTCGTTATAAATATTGCAATTTTCTATTGCGAAAGGTGGTATCTTAGAGGTGGCCCCATACTAATTTGGTTTTACATATATGGAAATTTAAGTCGGTTCTGTCATTTGCCTAAAAATTACTTGTTAATTTTTTGAAAATCGAGCAAACTAAATGCACATAAATATCGAATTTCAAACTGCATTTACAGTGAAAGTATAAAAGTTATCGAAAAACAAATTGCATTTTTAAATTCAGCATCCACAAATTCAGTACAATTTGATTTTCATATAAATCCGTCCCTAATTCTCTTTTCGCCCACATTTAGTATGGCACGGATGACAGGAAATTATTGTAAGTGGTTTAAAATAAATGACTTCTTTAAAATAAATGAAAAAAAGCATAGCACAAGCGATCATAGTAGCTTTTACAATACATATATTTATTCTTATTCGGGTAATCAATATTTTTCATGTTCTAGAAATCCCTTAATAAGCAAAAAAAAAGGTTCTCATTATTTGCTTGACCGCATCGCATTTGGATTGAATTAGAATCCGGCGCACTTATGTATATACCACATATGTATGTACATACATTAGGCATATAACTTTTTACAATTTTTGCAAATACGAAAAACGGCATACCATAGTCGAATAGAGCATAAAAAAGTATGAACCCCCATTATTTTTTTTTTGCGAAATTGCAAAAAAGTTTCCGCGCAAAACGAAATTACTTTTTTATCAGAACTGCTGAAAAAACAAAAAAAGTTTTGTACACTGTACACGTTTTTCTTCATAATAATAGATATTTATTTAACTAATAATCTTCCTATTATTCCAAACGCCTTTTAATGGACCTAAGGGAAGTGCCCCACCCACCCCAAACTAATTTTCCTTCAGAAAATTCTGATTCAATATTAAAAAATTTAAAAAAGAAAAAGCAATTTATTCAAGAACTCGCATAGTCAAATAATAATAACACAGCTGTGCGTTTTCCCTACATAAAATTTAAAGCAATACCAGCACTCAGTAATGCCCGTTGGAATTCTAGAGCTATTTTGGCACTTTTAGCCTTTATACTTATTCCTGAATATCGTTTGCAATTATATCCTATTTGTAAGTTTGTGTGCGGTGCTTGGAGCGAAATCTGGTTTTCCGATCATACTTTCAACAAAAATAATTTCGCCACACTACAGAAATCATTGGCCGGCTTCACAAAAGCAAATGAATGTTTTCTCAGACATTGGGTAAATAAACCATCAGCTATTGAGGAAGTTCAGCGAAGTAACATCTGCGCAGAGCGTGCAATTAAAATTGTGCAAGACATTTTACCATTGTGTAAATCATCACATACTTTAAACTTAAAACTTATTTCATATAACAATTGACAAAAATGTAAAAATAAAAATATTAAAAAAAATTTAAAAAAATCTGACTTTTTTTAGAAATCCATTTTTGCGCGGAACGTTTTTGAACCGAAATCACCTAAAAAAGTGATATTCATTAGTTGTACAATATTTGCCACCACGTGGTGGTATGCCAAATTGTTCGTCAACATTTGTTATATGCCTAATGTACATTGTATACATACATTTAACTGTAATTCACATCAATAGAACTGAACTACATAAATCTTACCAGTTTAAAACTCATTTACCCATTTGCAATTGCTTATTCGATATGGTCATGTCTTCAGAAGTATGTATGTATGTACATATGTATGTATAAGTAGTACAATTGTAGAAAGTGTGCAAAATTAGCTGAAGCGAAATTCTCAATAAGCATTCTTGTATATTTTCACAACTCGATTAAATTCTAGCAAGTAAATGAAGCTTTTATATTTTTGCTCTACATTTCACGCTAATCAAATTTGTCAACGACTTCGCTAGAACTCAATATACATAGATACATGTGTGTGTGTGTGTGTGTGTGTGTGTGTGTGCAGTTAATTAGTTTATTAAACGCGGTACTAACTGATGGTCATGTACCAGTGCATACCCTCATACATACATACAAACATACTTAAACACATCTGTATGTACTTACATTCATACAAATGAGCACATGAACTTTTAAATTAATTAATTGTTGAACTGGTAAGTTTTTACTTTCTAAAGTTGATGATTTATACATATGTTGAAGGGACGGACAGACGAAAACAGAGAGTGAAAGAGAATATTAACAGCTGTGCCAAGCTTACGCACATCAACTGCCTTTGCGCATGCGTAACACGTTCGTGTTATAGGTAAGCGCCCGCGCAAAACAACTTCAAAAGAGGCACGAAAAAAGAATAAGACTAGTTTTTTTTGAGTCATTAACAATCCACCGAAAGTGCAAAGAAGCGGTTAAATTTGGTTGTTAAGCGCAGCAGGCATTTGGATACTTACCGAACCAAACAAAAGCCACAAACCAACAAGTAATAATTAAATGACACATGTGAGGCATGTAAACGTATAGAAATTTAAAATAATTGGTAATGCATTATCTTCCTTTTCGTTTCTTTTGGATATTATTTACTTATCTATACTAGTTAACCCACGTGGCGCTAAAACGCTTAAAATTAAATTTCAGAAACCTACAAGTCATTCCAAATGATAGTCAACGGTATAAGCGATCCGAGTGCAATAT